ACCAAAGTATTCAGTGACTTCCCCACACACACACACACAGAATGACAATGCTACATGATTGCACACTAGTATTCAGTGACTCCTCCCCCACACACACAGAATGACAATGCTACATGATTGCTCCATAGTATTCAGTGACTCCTCCCCCACACACAGAAGGACAATGCTACATGATTGCACCATAGTATTCAGTGACTGCCCCCCACACACACACACACAGAATGACAATGCTACATGATTGCACCATAGTATTCAGTGACTCCCCACCACACACACACACACACACACACACAGAATGACAATGCTACATGATTGCTCCATAGTATTCAGTGACTCCCCACAAACACGCACAGAATGACAATGCTACATGATTTCACACTAGTATTCAGTGACTCCCCGCCCCACACACACAGAATGACAATGCTACATGATTGCTCCATAGTATTCAGTGACTCCCCACACACACACACACAGAAGGACAATGCTACATGATTGCACCATAGTATTCAGTGACTCCCCACACACAAACAGAATGACAATGCTACATGATTGCTCCTCAGTATTCAGTGACCCCCCTCCACACACACAGAATGACAATGCTACATGATTGCACCATAGTATTCAGTGACTCCCCCACCACACACACACACACACATACAGAATGACAATGCTACATGATTGCTCCATAGTATTCAGTGACTCCTCCACCCCCACAAACACACACAGAAGGACAATGCTACATGATTGCTCCTTAGTAATCAGTGATTCCCCCACACACACACACACAGAATGACAATGCTACATGAGAGCACCATAGAATTCAGTGACTCCACACACACACACACACACACACACACACACACACACACACACAGAATGACAATGCTACATGATTGCACAATAGTATTCAGTGACTCCCCCACACACACACACAGAATGACAATGCTCCATGATTGCTCCACAGTATTCAGTGACCCCCCTCCAAACACACACAGAATGACAATGCTACATGATTGCACCATAGTATTCAGTGACTTCCCCCCTCACACACACACACACAAAATGACAATGCTACATGATTGCACCATAGTATTCAGTGACTCCCCACCACACACACACACACACAGAATGATAATGCTACATGATTGCTCCATAGTAATCAGTGACTCCCCGACACACACAAAACAGAAGGACAATGCTACATGATTGCTCCACAGTATTCAGTGACCCCCCCTCCACACACACAGAATGACAATGCTACATGATTGCACCATAGTATTCAGTGACTCCCCACCACACACACACACACACACACAGAATGACAATGCTACATGATTGCTCCATAGTATTCAGTGACTCCTCCGCCCCACAAACACACACAGAAGGACAATGCTACATGATTGCTCCTTAGTAATCAGTGATTCCCCACACACACACACACACAGAATGACAATGCTACATGAGTGCACCATAGAATTCAGTGACTCCACACACACACACACACACACACACACACACACACACACACACAGAATGACGATGCTACATGATTGCACAATAGTATTCAGTGACTCCCCACACACACACACAGAATGACAATGCTACATGATTGCACCATAGTATTCAGTGACTCCCCACACACACACACACACAAAAATGACAATGCTACATGATTGCTCCATAGTATTCAGTGACTCCCCACCACACACACACACACAGAATGATAATGCTACATGATTGCTCCATAGTATTCAGTGACTCCCCACACACACACACAGAATGACAATGCTCCATGATTGCTCCACAGTATTCAGTGACTCCCCACACACACACACACACAAATGACAATGCTACATGATTGCACCATAGTATTCAGTGACTCCCCACCACACACACACACACAGAATGATAATGCTACATGATTGCTCCATAGTATTCAGTGACTCCCCACAAACACACACAGAATGACAATACTACATGATTGCTCCTTAGTAATCAGTGACTCCCCACACACACATACACAGAATGACAATGCTACATGCGTGCACCATAGAATTCAGTGACTCACACACACACACACACACACACACACACACACAGAATGACAGTGCTACATGATTGTTCCATAGTATTCAGTGACTCCCACCCCCACCCCCACCCCACCCCCACAGAATGACAATGCTACATGATTGCACCATAGTATTCAGTGACTCCCACCCCCACCCCACCCCCACAGAATGACAATGCTACATGATTGCAGCATAGTATTCAGTGACTCCCCCCCCACCCCCCACAGAATGGCAATGCTACATGATTGCACCATAGTATTCAGTGACTTCCCCCGACACACAAACAGAATGGCAATGCTACATGATTGCACCATAGTATTCAGTGACTTCCCCGACACACAAACAGAGTGAGAATGCTACATGATTGCTCCATAGTATTCAGTGACTCCCCACCACACACACACACACACAGAGAATGACAATGCTACATGATTGCACCATAGTATTCAGTCTCCCCCCCACGCACACAGAGAATGAGAATGCTACATGATTGCACCATAGTATTGAGTGACTCCCCCACAGAATAACAATGCTACATGATTGCACCATAGTATTCAGTGACTTCCCAAATAGACAGGATTATGATTAACCCCTTACAGCTAACATTTTCGTGAAGTTCTTTTAATACTTATCGAGTACGGTGAAACCACACAATGCACCCCAGTTTTAAAAAACCTGCTGTAGCCTAACCCGGAATCTGTACATGGCAAGTACTCATATATCTAATATTCTTCCGGTTGGCAACCTGAGTGTTTCATTTCAGAGTTTGTACTTCCTCCTGACCCGACATTGTGCTGATTGTGTTGTCACTCATTGGTATGTATGTCCCTGTTCTGTAACCACAGGTTGACGTTTATAGAGATGCGGTGATAAGTAGATTATATGTGTGCCCCTGTCCTATAACCTGAGGTTGGCGTTTATAGAGATGAGGTGATAAGTAGATTATATGTGTGGCCCTGTCCTATAACCTGAGGTTGGCGTTTATAGAGATGAGGTGATAAGTAGATTATATGTGTGCCCCTGTCCTATAACCTGAGGTTGGCGTTTATAGAGATGAGGTGATAAGTAGATTATATGTGTGCCCCTGTCCTATAACCTGAGGTTGGCGTTTATAGAGATGAGATGATAAGTAGATTATATGTGTGCCCCTGTCCTATAACCTGAGGTTGGCGTTTATAGAGATGAGGTGATAAGTAGATTATATGTGTGCCCCTGTCCTATAACCTGAGGTTGGCGTTTATAGAGATGAGGTGATAAGTAGATTATATGTGTGCCCCTGTCCTCCTATTGACGTTTGAGGGTGATAAGTAGATTATTGACATTTATAGAGATGAGGTGATAAGTAGATTATATGTGTGCCCCTGTCCTATAACCTGAGGTTGGCGTTTATAGAGATGAGGTGAACGTTTATGTACATAAGCCACCTGCTCCTCCGTCAAGAGCAGGCACACCGCATAGAAGGGTACTGAGACTTATTTTACTCACATTTGATACATGACCAGCCACAAGTTGGGCCCAGTATAACAGCGGTATGTCTGCTGTATCCGACTGAACACTAACGACTGTGGGGGTTTAGGCTGAACATTTATTTACATAAGCGTGAGTGTGTGACAGCCTGAAAGATCATAAGGAAATATAAAATAGAATCTAGTACATATGTACACATGTTTAATTCATTCGCGAAGTTTATAAAATACATATGTCTGTTTATTTCAGCATCAATAACCTTACATCAACCTTATTTGGCTAAATACACGTGAACTACAGTTACAATGCTACAAAATATTAACTCAGTTAACACTGTACGTATCTTTTACTTCAAGTAGAGTGAGTGAGTGAGTGAGTGAGTGAGTGAGTTGGGGTTTATGCCGCTTTTAGCAATATTCCAGCAATATCAAGGCTGAGGGACACCAGAAATGGGCTTCACACATTGTACCCATGTGGGGAATCGAACCCGGGTCTTCGGCGTGACTAGCGAACGCTTGAACCACTAGGCTACCCCATCCCCCGACTTCAGGTAGAACACACATAATGCATCTGCTGTGGAATTACATACATGTACCAGATTGGTGAAACTCTAGCTGATAACGCATGGTCTTTGTACCCAATCACCAATCTACAAGTCTGCACAACGAATAACTGAGTATGCAGAAAACAATATATGTACATGCACGAGTGATATGATAGAACATAATGTTTAAAAGTTAAGGTGTGCTAGCCACTCAAATCAAAACATTCCAAAAGTATGATGTTAGTGGATATTAAAAGCAGGTTTATGGACGTAATGAGATTACACTTAAACAGGATTAGACATTAAGATGCGCTTGGTGCACCCTTCACAGTCAACTGTAGCACGAGGGGGTCACTTTGTTATTTCACGGGGACAACTAGCCATCTGTATTGGAGCTAGTTCAGTGCGCGTATGTCCCCGTCCCGTATTTACAACAACAATGCAACACTGTCTCATTGACACCCGTGAACGCAGCATTAGGCAAAATAAATGTCAAAAGTGTTGGAATAGGAACATTGATAGATCAGAACAAGAAAATATTAATCTGATATCGTATAGATGTACCGAGACTGTGAATATGAGATGGTTCCAATTAAAAATTGTGAATAATTTGTTAGCAACAAATAGTTTTTTGTACAAGATAGGAATATCAGAGTCACACTTATGTACATTCTGTGGACAAGATTCAGAGACCATGGTACACCTGTTGTTTGAATGCTTTTATGTGAGAAAGATATGAAAGGAAGCTGCAGAAAAAAAGCAAACGCTGAATATTAGATATATTAAAGCAGAAATCATTAAGTATTATGAAGCAACAACAATGATAGCTTGTTCTAATTGTAATAATGCCAAACTTTTTAGCTTCTAGTCCTCCTTACATACTTTATTTGCCAATAATTTAACCTGTATCAACACACTTGTACATCATGTAACACTTTATATACATGCTTAGTTTGACCAATTTACATATCTGTGAACAGCATGGTATTTGACAATGTGATCAACAAACACTGCAATTATGTACTATGAAGTTACCTAAACTGTACTACTGAGGTGCAGTCTGTAAACATAAATCTGGGAATAAAAGCATGAAAACAAAAGAAAAGTCAACAGTAGCACGAGAGGGTCAGTTTGATATTTCACGGGGACAACTAGCCATCTGTATTGGAGATAGTTCAGTACGCGTATGTCCCCGTCAGGCATTGACAACAGCAATGCAGCACTGTCTCATTGAAACCCGTGAACGCAGCATTAGGCAGTCTGCGCCATTACTGTACCAATATGGCGTCCAGCTGTGGAACATTTTGGGGTTGGGGTCTCAAGGCGCGAAGACTTCTTCCAAGAGCATCTCATTCGTGTTAGATGGGATTGAGGTCAGGTCATCTTGATGGCCACTCAATGACGTCAATACCCGCATTTTGCAGGCAACGTCGTGTGTGGTGTCATTGTCATGTTGGAGAAGGAGGCATAGACCATGGGCAGGTTGAACGGCACCAGCTCTGAAAGAAGGACCGCCCGCTGCATTGAGGTTCCCACGAGTTACGAGACGACGTGAGCGTGTGTTCCCACAGGAAGCTCTCCAAACCACTACACTAGCCCAACGAAATCGATCAACTTCTTGTACGCAGCACAGGGCGTGACTCCACGCTCGCACTCTTCCAGCACGGGGCGTGACTCCACGCTCGCACTCTTCCAGCACTGGACGTGATGTTTACCGCTCCGACGCCACGCTCGTACTCATATATACACCTATTTCAGTCTGCCACACGTATACGACCACCAACTAAAACGTATTTTAAACAACTGCTCCTAAAGCTTAAGTCTAATCACACATGTGCGTGCGTGCGTATCTGCAGAACACTAAACTGGCTTTGAATAGTATAAAATCACGAGTTATTATTGTGAGTCCTCTCTAGGTGTCAGATATGTCACAACTGTCGTCGGGTCGTCAACAAACACATCCCTCAGGATTCGAGTGTAGGATGTGTCGTCTTCAGCAGAAGACCTGGACATAGAATCCTGCTTTACATCACTGGACACCGGGAAGCACTCGGACAGAGTAGGTATGACTCCATCTCTTTCCCCACCCTCTGCCTCTCCCCTTTCCCCTCCTCCCGACTCTCTCATTTCTCTTCCTCCATATTACTGGACATCAGGAAATACTCGGCAGTCGCAATTGCTGCTGGTTCACTCTCTTCCTCCTCCACCTCTGACACTCCCTCTTCATCCTCTTTCCCCATCCCCTTACTTTCCCCTTTCCCCATCCTCTCTCTTGGTGTCAGATATGTCACAACTGTCGTCGGGTCAATAGCAAACACATCCCTCAGCATTCGAGTGTAGGATGTGTCGTCTTCAGCAGAAGACCCGGATGTAGCATCCTCTTCTTCCACATCACTGGACACCGGGAAGCACTCGGCCAGAGCAGGTATGGCAGGTTCCATCTCTCTCCCCATCCCCTTCCCCATCCTCTTCCTCTCCCTTTCCCTGATCCTCTTCCCTTTCCTCTCCCCACTACTCTCTCCTTTCTCTCCCTCCACATCACTGGACACCAGGAAGTACTCGGCAGTCACAGTTGCTGCTGGTTCACTCTCTTCCTCCCCCACCTCCCCCACCTCTGACACTTCCTCTTCTTCCTCCTTCTTTCTCCCTTCCCCCATTGTCTCCCCATTCTCCATGTCCACCATGTTGTTTGTGCTGCTGGTGGGTAGCTCCGGGTCTATGTCTTCATCGTGTATTTCATAATATCTGTGTACTACCTGGTACTCGTGTGTAGCCCGGGACACGGGAAGCCCAGGGTTCATGTCGTGAAGTTCATAATATCTGTGTACATCCCGGTACCCCAGTGTGGCCTGTGACACTTGACCAAGATCACTGGACATCCCAGCCGCCAGCTGGCCTCGCCTGAAGAAACAATATCATTGTAAATACAAACATGGATGAGGTCGACATGTTTACACTGAAGAAACAATATTATTGTAAATACAAACATGGATGAGGTCAACATGTTTACACTGAAGAAACAATATAATTGTAAATACAAACATGGATGAGGTCGACATGTTTACACAGAAGACAACACCGTTCTGTGTACTGTGACACTCTATCACGTTGGCGTGTAATGGCGTTCGTGTTTCTTTTGTGATTTGCGATTGTAAATGGCGGTATTTCCCAACACAGAAACGACAATGTAAATACTTTGATATGAAGTGATAAGTAGGACAGTTCTTCCAAGATGGCTGCTGTCAGTCGGTGTCTTAAGGTCAAGGCCAAGGTCAAGGTCAGAAGTTCAATCTACTCAAATGTGCGCTGTTTCAAAATTGTATCATGTATGTTGCAGCTCCCCGTGACAAGTAACAATGCATCATAAATTCACGTTGAAGACATTACAACAAAATAGTTTTATGGACTAGATATTACGAGTATAATAAACTCTGCATATAATATATGTTTGGGAATTAAACCTTTCTGGATAGTGTTTTTTCTGTTACCCGTGAAGATCCGGACTAGAATTGATCTTCAGTAACCCAGGCGATAACGGGATCGGGTGGTCAGGCTCGCTGACCTGGTTGAAACATGTTATCGGTTCTCAATTACGTAGATCGATGCTTATGATGTTGATCACTGGATTGTCTGGTCCAGACTCGATTATTTACAGACCGATGCCATACAGCTCGAATTTTGCTGAGTGCGGCGTTAAACAACAAACAAACAAACAAACAAACACACTGGTATTCTGTAGTTCTCCCAATTACAGACGGTTCGCTTACAGTAACTATGATGGTATTGTGCAGTTATGTACAGGACATCAGGGAGACGTTAATGTATAGAACACCAGGGAGACGTTAATGTACAGGACATCAGGGAGACGTTAATGTATAGGACATCAGGGAGACGTTAATGTATAGGACATCAGGGAGACGTTAATATATAGGACATCAGGGAGACGTTAATGTACAGGACATCAGGGTGACGTTAATGAATAGGTCATCAGGGAGACGTTAATGTATAGTACATCAGAGAGACGTTAATGTATTAATGTATAGGACATCAGAGAGACGTTAATGTATAGGACATCAGGGAGACGTTAATGTATAGGACATCAGAGAGACGTTAATGTAATGTAGGAGACATCAGGAGACGTTAATGTATAGACATCAGGGAGACGTTAATGTATAGGACATCAGGGAGACATTAATGTATAGGACATCAGGGAGACATTAATGTACAGGACATCAGGGTGACGTTAATGTATAGGACATCAGGGAGACGTTAATGTACAGTACATCAGAGAGACGTTAATGTATATGACATCAGGGAGACGTTAATGTATAGGCCATCATAGAGACGTTAATGTATAGGACATCAGGGAGACGTTAATGTATAGTACATCAGAGAGACGTTAATGTATAGGACATCAGGGAGACGTTAATGTACACGACATCAGGGAGACGTTACTGTATAGGACATCAGGGAGACGTTAATGTATAGGACATCAGGGAGACGTTAATGTATAGGACATCAGGGAGACGTTAATGTATAGTACATCAGGGAGACGTTAATGTATAGTACATCACGGAGACGTTAATGTACAGGACATCAGGGAGACATTAATGTATAGGACATCAGGGAGACGTTAATGTATAGGACATCAGGGAGACGTTAATGTATAGGACATCAGAGAGACGTTAAATTTACGGGACATCAGGGAGACGTTAATGTATAGGACATCAGGAAACGTTAATGTATAGGACATCAGGGAGACGTTAATGTATAGGACATCAGAGAGACGTTAAATTTACAGGACATCAGGGAAACGTTAATGTATGGGACATCAGAGAGACGTTAATGTACAGGACATCTAGGTGACGTTAATGTATAGGACATCAGGGAGACGTTAATGTATAGGACATCAGAGAGACGTTAAATTTACGGGACATCAGGGAAACGTTAATGTATGGGACATCAGAGAGACGTTAATGTACAGGACATCAGGGAGACGTTAATGTATAGGACATCAGGGAGACGTTAATGTATAGGACATCAGAGAAACGTTAATGTATAGGACATCAGGGAGACGTTAATGTATAGTACATCAGGGAGACGTTAATGTTTAGTACATCAGGGAGACGTTAATGTACAGGACCTCAGGGAGACGTTAATGTACAGGACATCAGGGAGACGTTAATGTATAGGACATCAGAGAGACATTAATGTACAGGATATCAAGGAGACATTAATGTACAGGACATCAGGGAGACGTTAATGTATAGGACATCATGGAGACGTTAATGTATGGGACATCAGCGAGATGTGAACGTCTGTGGCGTCATTCCAGACGCGGGGATAAACGACAACAGTTTCAACAGCTGGGTTTTACTGTTGTTATACTTGAAACATGCTAAGATGTGAAAACGGATATATGCTACATATTCTTATACAACTGCCCAATTAACTTTTTTATGGCTTTATTTCTGTTCACCGGTACATGTTTAACAATAAATGGATAGTTCCCAGTTCAATACACAAAGTATCTAAACAAAAAGGGCATGACAAATCAGTAGCTGATAGTGATGGCTCTTACAGGTGACGTATTGTTCAGGTAAATAGGCAATGCCCAATTAACTGGGTTAACCAACATATTGTTGTACAACATTAATACGATGCTGTTCAGAAAATATTTACAAGATAGTTAGGTGATACACTTGCTGTCTTTTCATTATGAAACTAAGTGACCTGTACATTTAAACAGGCTAAACTGCATTTGCCCTACTCAATTGTATCAACTGTTCAAGCCCGTAACTATCACACTGAATTCTACAAATACTGACCTCTGTCCGGCAATGTGTCTACGATGTCTCACACACCGTGTCAGTGCTGTACAGAACATGGCTGCTGCAAGGATGCCGATGATGACTCCAAGGATTCCGATGATGATGATGTTTGTCTTCGGAACTTAATAAAAAAATATAATAAAGCTACTTCTTATATGTGCATCTGTGTGTCTGTCTTTTTGTCTGTATCAAGTGACATTCAAGGTATACTAAAATAATTATTTTAAACTAATGTGTTTGTTCATCGAAGTATGTTTGTCTTGCAACATATCGTGGCGGTGAAATACGAAACCGGAAAGAGCAGTTCTGTAACAGCATTGTGTTCGTGTAGTCCATCTCACCGTGGCGTCATAGGGCCAACAACATAACTAACAATGTACTGCAGCAAGTGTGATCACAATCTACACCTTAAGGTCACGTGATCTACACCTTAACGTCATGTGATCTACACCTTAACGTCATGTGACCTACACCTTAACGTCATGTGAGTGAGTGAGTTTAGTCATACGCCGCTTTTAGCAATATTCCAACAATTTCACGGCGGGTGACACCAGAAATTGGCTTCATTGTACCCATGTGTGGAATCGAACCCGGGTCATCGCCGTGACGAGTAACGTCATGTGATCTACACCTTAACGTCATACGATCTACACCACAACGTCATGTGATCTACACCTTAACGTCATGTGATGTACACCTTAACGTCATGTGATGTACACCTTAACGTCATGTGATCTACACCTTAACGTCATATGATCTACACGATGACGTCATATGAAACGATCCGTTTTACCTGCTTTCATTTCAAAGGAGTGAGTGAGTGAGAGTGAGTATGGTTTTCGCCGCTTTTAGCAATATTCCATCAATATCACGGCGGGGGACACCAGAAATGGGCTTCACACACTGTACCCATGTTGGAAATCAAACCCGGGTGTTCTAACCATTAGACTACCCCACCGCCCTATTTCAAAGGACCAACATGGAGAGTAAGTCAAAACTCAAGAAATACCCCTTTTACCCATGCGTTAGATATTAAATTCACCTGATTTACAGGATTCAGCTGCACGGCATTCCTCGATGGTGCAGTTGCTGGTGCAGGAAGATTCACACCCTCTGATGGTGCATCCTTCGATACACATGCCAGTCTTCTGGTCACACAACCCGTCCCGACACACATCACAAGTCTGATCACACACTCCCCCATACCAGCCAGGGCTACATCCATGTGTACAGGATCCGGTGTTTGAGTCACAGGTGTGATTGAAGCACGTCTCAGAACATGCTTTACAGGTTGTCCCGAAATATCCATCCTGACATCCGTCCACGCAGGCACCTGTCAGGCCGCACCTTTGGTTGATACAGCCAGCCTCACATCGAGATGAACACCAGGATCCGTACCATCCATCCACACAGCCACGTGTACATCCGTTGCTATGGTTACGCAAAGGTGGTGTACAATAGCTGACCATCTCTTCATCCGTGCAATTCAGAGGACATGTGTTGACAACTGACACACAGTGTTCACTGCATGGCTCAATACAGAACATTTGGGGATATCGAGACGAACACTCCTTGACACATTCACTCGCACAGCTACCTGAACAGTTTGTACAGGAATACTGACAGCCTCCACCAACGTAGGGATGGTGACACTCCTCACATGCTCCTGTAATCCTGTTGCAGGACCGACACCTGCTGGAGCACGGTCGACAGTCAGAACCGTAGTAGGAGTCCACACATCCTGACATACAGGAGGAGTCCATCTGGCAGAATCCTTCTTTACATCCACCAGGACATTGTGTACAATTACCAGCAGGAGGATCACACCGTACGCTGCAGCTTGTGCCTTGGAAGCCTGCCACACAGCCAGCAGTACACCCCTCGATCCCGTCTGTTGTCATCTCACATGTATTGTTTCGACAACCAGTGCTGCACTTCAAACTGCACCGTTTGTCCCAGTAGCCATCATAACACTTTATACATTCTCCAGTCTTCTCGTCACAGTCTAAACAGTGCTGATTGTCAGAGCAGGCGATAGCTGGAAGAATATATTTTCTTTCAAAAGTACCTATTTCGTTTTGGATAGATATTACAGATACATATGGTCAGCTACCACCCAATACTATCTAAGTACCCAACGACTGCTTGCCCTACATGACACGTGCACTTGTCCCAACTGACTCGGTCTGGAATATCAACCATTGTGTCCAGTTATCGCCTCATGAGTGTTTTGCCAAATGATTGGGAATCGGTACCACATTGAAACCTGAAAACGTGATCCTCCTGTATGAACCCACCTCGATATAGATATGTCAAGCAAATATACCATCCCTGTCTGAAAGCTTAGTCATAGTCCTGAATCCGACCAAGGACGTACTGCTTTGTCCTATATACCCATGCCTTGGTTAGGTAAGTATTTGACTTGTCTTTGCGTGCATCCGTGACCCCGGTACTCCAGGATACGATCAACAGCTGCAGGTTACAAATGTGAATCACTATTTTATATATATAGTTGTTTGTTATGATTATAAATTGGGTCTCTTCACTTGTAGAATTTGTACAATTTGTACACATATACAATTGAACTGTTAATCCATTGTCCTCAGTTCCAGATAACCTTGACAGAAGCTTGTCGAACCCACGGTTGACGGTATTGTATTGCTTACTGGACAATTCAGTAAAGGCAGCAGGTTTCCACTTACCTCGTGTTCCGGTAAACATCCAAGCAACGGCTAGGAACGTAAGGGGAACCATTTGTTATCTGAAACAGAAAAATGTATATACACTGAAACATTCATCAAAGTACAGACCACAAGTAATGCTGTATACTTGATTGGCTGTTGGTGATAGGGCTGTGTATTGGCAGCTGTATACCAGTGATACCGAGCAGTCCTAGTTGCTAATGTTTTAAAACGTTTTATAACCAAACGAATCACAAAGTACGCATGCCTACCTTTACACACGACAGACGCATGACCTACCTATACATACCATACACGCATTCCGTTAGACACATGACCTACCTTTACATACCACACACGCATTCCGTTAGACACATGACCTACCTTTACATACCATACACGCATTCCGTCACACAAGACACACGCATGACCTACCTTTACATTCCATACACGCATTCCGTTAGACACGACAGACGCATGACCTTCCTTTCGTGTTGTATGAGCAGTGAGTGTCAACACAAGTAGACGTATACGACAAGAACTACTGTATGTACAAATTTAGAACCAGAACCCAGTCAACTGAGCCCCACCAGGGCCTCCCGTGTCGTGGTGTAACCAGCGTCATCATTGATGTACTTCCGGTGTGATTCACCTGTTTCAGTTTCCCCACTGCACAATACAACTCAACAGCGAACCTGTTGTGAGTGAAAAATTACACATCAAAGCACAAATATTTCCGTTAAATCATCTATGAAACCACGCTACTTTTATTCTACCCGTACTTCCAAGTGCATGTTCTATTTCATTTCATGGTATTTGATATTTTCAGTTCGCATTACACGCAAATATTGATGTGTGCTTGTCTGTGTCCCCCATTTATTCACAAGTCAACCTATCAGCCTGTCACTGAGACTCGTCCTGTCCTCATTGAAGCACAAGTCAACCTATCAGCCTGTCACTGAGACTCGTTCTGTCCTCATTGAAGCACAAGTCAACCTATCAGCCTGTCACTGAGACTCGTTCTGTCCTCATTGAAGCACAAGTCAACCTATCAGCCTGTCACTGAGACTCGTTCTGTCCTCATTGTAGCACATGTCAACCTATCAGCCTGTCACTGAGACTCGTCCTGTTTTCATTGAAGCACAAGTCAACCTATCAGCCTGTCACTGAGACTCGTCCTGTCCTCATTGAAGCACAAGTCAACCTATCAGCCTGTCACTGAGACTCGTCCTACCATCATTGAAGCACAAGTCAACCTATCAGCCTGTCACTGAGACTCGTCCTGTCTTCATTTTCTAACGTTGAAGGTGGTCCAATGTGAATAACCCTTCATATATCAGGTGCATCAGTGCCCATGCTGTATGCCTCAGTGGCTAAAAGAAGCCTTACATGGCTATTGGGAGACTTGAATATACAATACAGTTCTTGTTTATGCTGAAAACAAAGGACTAATTATTTACAGAGAGCAAGGCTTGCTTTCCAAAAATAAGTAAAATTGATACTTAATCATAAATTCTAAAATGTTAATGTATTTTGACATGAAAAACATTTGTCTTTACAAGTGCTATTAATTATCCATAATTGGTTCATTTCAGGACAATACTGGGAAATTAAATATATTAGTAGCAGAGGTAAATTATTGATAAATACTATTTAAACCGCTTACTGCATCAACTTTCGGTGCACTGTTCAAGCCTGGCAGTGTACTGACTATTAGAAGTGTAACAGTGGAGTTCTTCGTCGCCCATTATTTGAATTGCCAATTCATGGCCATATCCACAACATTTCAGCTTGCTGAAGAGAACTGTTTCTGGAAGGATCTTCCTTTCTCCCGTAAAAATATACTTGTTTCTTAAAATGCCTCTTACCTAGTATTTTGTGAAGAATTTGCAAACCATACTCAAACAAAATTCAATTCAGGAGAAATTAATGTGTATTTGCCAGATTTACAGATATCATTACAATATTCTGCAGATACAGTTTTCACTTATCAGTTATTGTTTCATTTTTCTGCTGAATAATGTTATTAATAATGCAAACAGTCCTGTATTAAGACCATATACGTGTACACATTTTTGATTATCTAGGTACTTGTCATTAATATTTACCAAATTTTTCGCTTTGTACCAAAGATGGTGTTATGTCATTAGTGCAGTACAGTTAACTGGTTGCTGCTTGGATATTAGTCTTGATGATATAACTAAGATATGTATTGTTTCATCTGAAGGTAGTAATGATATATGTGACTTAAAAGAGAACTTGATTAAAACGGTTTTATTTATTGTGTGGATTAATGCTAATATATATGAGATGTATTTTGTCAGTCAGCAAAGTTTACTGCTGTCATTTTAGAAATGAGATCTGTATGTGACTGGTGTAATAATAGAATTCACATATTTGCCATGATTATGAAATGTGATTATTAACTGATATCTAACTGCTAAGTGAAATGTTATTCTGCATTTGCTGTAAAGACATAACCACATCATTTGCTGTGGTATGATATAAATTCTGTGCCTTTAATTCCATTAATATTGGCCTCAATACCTCTCCATAAGCATCTTCTGATGTTTTGTTTACAGAATTTTGGGAGGGTCTCTCATTCACTGACTAAAACAGGTTTGGGCGATCACATGGTGCGTATACTAAGTAGCAATTAGCACAAAACCTGAGGTGTTTTGCTATGCCTTTTTGTGTTGTTTTTGTAGCTGTCGCAGTCATTGCAACAACTTTTGCAGATCACAGATTTTCAGATCACAGAGAAACCCCTTCTGTAATTACTGCTCAGGGTGTCCTAAGAATATATGTGGGCATGTTGGAGCTTTTGTCTCCCATGTGGTCTGGCAAAATGTGCATGCACCTTTCAGCGTAAACTTTCACTTTTTCGTTGATGATTGCACTCAAGGGACTCACGACGAGAATTGATATTAGATAATCTTGCAAGTGACATTTGCATATAGCAGTGCACGTACACGCTGTCTGACAACGTCTGACTCCAATATAATAGGGAATTAGCTCGTAAGCCAGACTCTTTCCGAACCCAGTGGGCAGAACGGTCATTACGTCACCAATTTCTGAGGCGTACACAATGTCTATTTGTTGTTTTTTCAAACAAAACACAGGAGTTTCTAAAACTACGGAGAAACGAATTTAGGCACATTTTAGAGCATTACCTCTACCCAGCTTGTCTCCAATGTTCATCGTGATTTCAATAAAGCTGTGATCACTTGGCTGTGTAAATGAAAAAAGGAATACTGCGTTTATAGTAACTCGATCTAAACGTAAACACAGCTAGCAGATGAAGCGTAGGGAGTAAATATAAGGAGTAACAAAGTCCTCATGACAATCGTTCACAGCTATCGTCTCTTTGGCCTGTACCTGCCGGTATATTGCGATATGCGATACGGGGCCCAGCTTAGGTACAATATGTGACGAATCGTCACATCTTTCTGGCCTGTGTCAGAGGTACTATATGCTGGCTGGCCGCATGGAACTCTGGGAAGGAGAGTGGGAGTAATCAGTAATCATTGTAGCTGTCAACTGCTAGCACTACAATCAGGTGAGTGTAAATACAGATCCTGTGTGATTGGTAAATGAACACAGCATTTCGTAAAATATATCTATGTTAATCATAAGTCATAACATGCTGAACCGAGGTTTTCCAGGTGATTTGGCGCTCAACGTACAATGTCATGACGTCACACTAGCGATGACGTCACGACATTGCGGCCAGGGCCTTACACTAGTCCCCTGAATACCGAGATTTGTTTCTGACCCACGTGATAATACATTCTAAAAAGTGAAGGTAGAGCGAAAATATTTGCTCGCGTGGCACTGGATCGACCTACGTCAACAAACATTACACAGAAATATAGAAAATGAAATTTCCTATCCTAGGTTATAGATTCAAGTGGAAATACTTAGTCGGTTTGAAAAACAGACACTGCTAAATATTGTCCGAAAGTTTGGTATGCGTTAAAAACAGTAAATTTCGCCGCGTTTTATCGTACACCGATAAAAGCACTGTGCGGCGATGTAATTGAATGCGTATGTATAATGTTATCAATAAATGCGAGAAATGGCTTGCCATAACTGGATAAAATGATTTACCCCTATGACGTCCAACGGCGCCAACGAGGTCGTACACGCATAAAGACGGAGAGGCATAACACTGGGTCATTGTAATGAGTGAGTGAGCATGATTTTACGCTGGTTTTCTAAAGTTTTCTAGCAATATAACGGCGGGGGACACCAGAAATGGGTCTTTACACAGTGGGGAATCAAACTCGGGTCGTCGGCGTAACGAGCGGACACTTTAACCATGAGGCTACCCGACCGCCCCAATGTAACTGACATCACTTGGAGATAATGTGCTGTGGATAAGGACAATGGTTTTCTGAGTTTTCGTTCACGATGAACAATTTCATTCCAATACAAATGTCCACATTGCAACTGTATATGAATTACGAGAAATGTTGAAATTATACATGTGAAATCACGTAATAGCAAAATGGATCGCCCTATCAAATATGTAAGTCAGTTCTTGTAGTAATAATAGATGTATTTCTGCACCATTATTAAGGTCAATGACACATTACATCGTACCCCAACTGTGTAGTTCACTGCTCATGCTAATGATCACTGGATTGTCCGGTCCAGACCACAAGTATATCTCTAGCTTGAACACAGCTAAGTGCGGCGTTATACAACAACCCAACAACCAACGAATCAATTAATCTATAGTATACAATGGAAGAAACGAGCCCTCTGTGTGTGGAACGATCAGAATAATGTCCGGTTTGGCCAAACAGGGACATGGCAGGTTGGTATATTTTTAAATTCTTCTCGAAATATACAAAGTATAGTTACTGTGTGTTATCATGCCATCACAACATCACAATAATTTATTTTCAAAAGTGTATTCATTATATCATAGAAAACATGACGAATACGTCATAAAACGATTGTCAAACGAGCACCTGGCCAGTCATCATACATTATTGTTCTGTCTATAAAACGGCATAAACAAAACTGTGTGCATATACATTTGATAAAAGAAATCAAATATTTTCCTCCTACAAAACTCTTCCCATGCATATTCGAAGAGTAGAGAGCCAATGCATACAACAAATAGACGAATTGATGTCTGAAAAGTCGAGAGAATGCGACACTGTGTAAAATCTGATTTTCACATTTCAAACCAGCGCCGTCTGGCGAGCACAGTGATCGTTTTCACACTAAATATATTTTGTTTGATTCCATGTCGATACTTCGTTTTGATGGCAAAAATAGGCTATTTGATGCCAAAATGTATGAGAAACCCAGTGATGTATTTGACTCAGCTGGATGTGAAATATACATGATGTAATATGCCTCTAATCAAACGGATGTTATGACATTTGTCAGTTTACTCCATGTATAATAGTCGACCGCCTCCGTGGTGTAGTGGTTAGAGCGTCCGCTCGGAAAGCGGAAGGTCGCGGGTTCGATCCCATACCAAAAGACGTTAAAATATGGTACTTGTTGGTCCCTGCCTGGCGCTCGGCATTAATGGGTAC